CTCTCACGATTTTTTTGAATATATTCTCTATCCCTTGCTCATTTTCTTCTTCTTCGGGGACTCCTATGATGCGAATATTATTAAGTTTCCAGTTGTCCCATAGTTCTCTTAAGCTGTCTTCCTGTTTTTTAATAGTTTTTTCCTTTTGTTTTTCTGATTGGTTGATTTTTTGTACCCTGTCTTCTAATTCACTGATCTGGTACTCAGCTTCTTCTACTCTGCTTTTTAGACCTTCCAATGTGTTCTTTAATTCCGATATGTCATTTTTTATCTCTTCTTGGTGGTTTTTAATTTCCAATTGTTTTATTTTCAGCATCTCTATATCCTCACTCATGCTGTTGAGCTTCCTCAAGATCATGGCTCTGAATTCTAGCTCTGTTAAATTGCCTAAGTGCTCCACATTGATCTCATCTTCAGTGGAGGTCTCTTGTTCTTTCATTTAGCTTCTGTTTCTGTGTTTCACCATTTTGGCTATCACTGTGGGCTTTGGAGCCTGTCACATTTTCCCTGTGGGTGTTGATGTTCTGCTGTTTGTGGCTACCTCTCCTGGGTTTAGATGAGCGAGGGAGGACCCATGTTGAACACCACTGTCTAGTCTTACTTTCCTGGTTAAGGTTGCTATCCCAGGAAAGGTACTGTTATCCTCTAGCTTTTTGCCTGGAGGCTAGCAGTTGAGGTTACTTGAAGAGTTTTGGGTTGTTAGTTGATTGAAAAACTCTCTCAGGTGCTCAGTGTAAGGGGATTTCCTGAGGGTGGGGCAGATGCTGGTTGTTGGTGACACTCAATTAGTATTCCATTGGCCCACTGGGTGGGGTTGGATCTCCGAGGGAGGTGTTGCTGCCTCTCCCCAGAGCCCTGGGAAGGAGCAAGATGGCCACCTTTCTGCGTGGCCGCAACTCAGCAAATGCTCTGAGCATCCACCAAACCCTAGTGTCCCCACACAGTTCCAGTCCAGTCTGTCCTCCCTCTGCCGGAGCCCAAGGTGATTGGCTGTGGCTATTTCAGCCTCTGTCCCGGCTCTGCGCTGTGGAGCTGCGTGGGACTTTAACCCGAGGGCGCTGTTCACAGCTAAGGCCGCTGCTGTCTGTGGGCTCCCAGCCTCCCTCTCACGCCTTCTCAATCCTACCAGGATGGAGTCAGTGTCCCTGGTTATATGGTCCTCGCAAGCTGCTTTTCTGTTGCTTTTTTCTGTCGATTTGCCTGTTTTATAGTTGTAATTCCAGTTTGGTTCTGGGAGATGGTCTTTGTAGCTTCCTTTCACTCTGCTGCCATTTTGGAATTCTCAGTATTTTTATTTTTTATTAAAAAATTTTTTTTTACCTTTATTGATTTTTTGAGAGAGAGGAAGTGAGAAGGAGAGAAAGATAGAAACATTGATGAGAGAGAACATTGATTGGCCACCTCCTGCATGCCCCCCACTGGGGATTGGGCCCACAACTTGAGCAAGTTCCCTGACCAGGAATCAAACTGGTGACCTCTTGGTGCATGGGTCGACGCTCAACCACTGAGCCACACTGGCTGGACGGTATTTTTATATCAGCTATTTTATTCTTCATTTCCACTTGATTTTTATTCACAGCTTCTACCTCTCTTTTTATGTTGGAGTGAGTAGTTCTTACTGTGTTGTTTGAGCACCTCTAAAACCATTGCTTTGAATTTTTTATCTGACACATTGCTTGCCTCCATTTCATGTAGTCCTTTTCTGGTGTTTCCTCCTTTTCTTTCATTTGGGGGTTGTTTCTTTGTCTCATCATTTGAGCAGTCTGGTAGTTTGGGGCCAGGTGAGGCATATTGAGATGTGTAGGCAGGTTGGTGTGTATCAGATATGCTGTGCCTCCCAGTCTGGGTGTGGTGACTTCCTTTGGGACCCAGAGGAGCAGTTTCCTCGATCCCTTCACCTTCTCAGCTGGGTGGCCTAGGAATGACCCCTGTGTGGGTTACGTGGGCTCTCCTGTTGAATTTTGGTCTTGATTGCTCTTGTTTGTTTGTGGGTGGGCTCAGTCCTCAGTGTTGCTAACTATGAATCTCAACCCTGACCCTATTGACCTGTTGTGCCAACCGTTACAGAAGTGTTAACAGAACAAAACCAGACCAAACCAAAAAGATCTCCCTCAAAAATATCAGCATCAACAATGATAAAAGCTCCAGCTTCAATCCAAATGTTAAAAGACAAACAAAGTGAAAACACACACACACACAAGAATACTAGAAGGTGTGAGATCAAACAAATTAGAAGAGGGAGAGAAAACGAGTTATATGAAAGTAAAGAAGGCAAGGCCGTACTAATCCAAACCAAACCAAAAAGCACCTTAAAAAAGTATCAGCATCAACAATCATAAAAGCACCAGGCTTAACAAAAAGCTTAACAGACAAACAGATAAACAGAAAACACACACACACTCACAAAAGAATACTAGAAGGCCTGAGACTAAAAGGGTTAGGAGAGGGGAAAAAATGAAAGCAAAGAAGGCAGAGACCAGAAGTGGGGTAAAAGTATAAAAATTAAAAGGTAGGAAACTGAGTAAAATAATAATAATTTTAGAAAATAATAATGCTAAATTGAATAAAATATAGAATAGGAAAGTAAAAAAATGGGATAAGAAAAGCAGAAAAAAAAAAAGGAATAAAAAACAATAACAAAACACATCAAAACAGCCGCCACCACAACAAAAATCTTATATCTTGTATCTGCTATTTATGGAACTCACTGGATTTTGCTCCAATGTTGTTGGATCTCACCCTGTGAGTGTGGGTCCCTGTCCTCTTGGGAGTTCTCTGGTACAGGCCAATGTGAATTGCTGTCCCTGCCTGGCCCTTGGCCTCCTGGCTGAAGCCCTGCAAGGTAGGATCCCAGGTATCCCCTAGCCCAGAGGCTGGGTCCCTTTGGGGCTGCCCACTTGCATGTATTTGTTCTGGGCTGCCTTCCCTTTCCCCGTGGCGCTGGGCTCTGCGGAGTATCAGGTCCAGTCAGGGTGGTTTACACAGATTTGTTTTGGGGGTGGTGCCTGTAGCTTATAGGAGGGGCAGGCAGTCTCTTCCTCTCCTTCTAATACCTCAGCTCTGCCTGAGTTGCTGGCACCCCCTGTTGCCAGCCAAAGCAGGGGAGAATAGAAAAAAATAAAATGAAAAGGAGAAAAAACAACAGTGCCCTGCTTGGCTCTTTAATCTTTTAGCACAGCCAGCTTTCACTGGGCAGGGCTTCTGCCCAGGCCCCCTCCCAGCCAGATGTCCCACTCCACAGAGCCCCCAGGCCCTGCTGCGGTTCCATGGGTGAGGAAAGAGGCACCTTCTTTTCACTGGGGGGGGGGAGGAATGCACCTCTTTCCCAGGCACTCTGGCCAGCCCTCCTCAAAGTTCTTTCTGGGAGTACCCAGCCCCTCAGAGTTGCTGCTGTGTGGCTCCCCAGGCCCCTCTTCAGGTGTGCCTTCTGCTTTGTGGGCTCCCCTGCTCCCACAGTCAGGGGGGCTTTCCAGGCTGGCTCCACAACCACGTGCTGTACTGGCTTCTAGGCTGGGACAGTGCTGAGTCCCCCTGGTGGGCCGAGTCCCCTCTGATTCCCACTGTCCCATGCTAGGATGCTGTGTGGGCTCCCCTTCCCCTCTCTGTTGCTCTTCTTTAGGGATCCCTGTGGGGCTGAGTCCCTGGCTCCCAGCGGGCAGCAGCTGTGCCGCGCACCTTCCCTCCCTCTTCTCCTCTCTTCCCCACACTCCTGCCTGCAGTATTTCCACTAAGCTATTTTCAGGTGGCTTTTCAAGTTGAATGCTCTGAGTTTAGCCTCAAGTCTGTCCTGTACTTGGGTCAAGTGGTGGAACTTCCTTATGCTTCAGCCATCTTGCCCTCCTGGGCCAACCAGAAGGTTTTATATTCATGAGAATATATTAAAATATATTAAAATATAGGCTCCAGGTTCCATTATACCTGTATACCCTACACATAAGTTAGAGTTTTGTTCAGCTGCAGGCACCATAAAAATTCAGATACTTGTTTAAATACAAAAGAATTGTATTTGCCGCAGGCAGAAAGAAGTTAAGAGCAGATCTGGAGGTGCAGACTGTCATGGGAAAACCAGGCTTCTCCTCTCTTTCCTGTCCTGCCAGCTTCATTAATAGTTTCTGCTGTCCCTTGGGCCTCGCATGAGCACTCCAGGCAGGACAAGGGACAGAGCCAAGTGTTAGCACTGGCAGCCTTGCATTTACAGCCATTGGCCAGGACGGGGTCACATGGCACTTCCAGCTGAAAGGTGTTCTGGGAGGCTGAGCTGGTCTCTCTAGTAGAGGACAGCAACCGGAGGGATGTTGGCTCAGTCCACTTACAGTGTCTGCCACATCGCCTCAGTCCATGTCAGAGGGATTTCAGGGTCATACGTGGATTTACTATTGAGTATGGTTTAAATTGGCCCAAACTGCAACACATAGAGACGTGTCTGAAGTGTTTATCCCAGTATAGAACTGAGCACTGGAGGGGTCTTTCAGTTAGATGACACTGAATGTTAGAACTGAGTCTAAAGAGGTAAAGAGGCTACAGTGCAGCTTGACCGGTGGCAGAAGTACAATTGCAACTGAGTTTGTCTTCCATGAAGTCAGTCTGTTCTTTCTAGTTCATTCCAGTATCTTCTCAAAGTAGACATGAATCGCTCATCACTTCTCTTAAAGTGATACAGACGTGGAGCTGTGAGCTGCTCTGGTTTCCAGTGAGGGTGCTGAGCGCTGTTAAGCTGAGTGCTGGGAAGGGGCATTGTTGACAGAGATGCATCTGTGTGTGGGTGAGACCCTAACCTGCAGTGTCGAGGGCCTGTGCTGGTGGGCTCCGCTACCTTGTGGAGACCTGGCTTTTAGGGTGGGCGACCCTCTGGGGGGCGGAGTCCACAGGCGGCAACACGTGGGTACAAACTGTCCGTTTCCCTTGCTGTGGCTTAGGATGTCTTGCATTCATGGACCCCTTGGGACTCTGAATAACTTTGGAGAGGCTACGATGATAACTTTCTCCCCCTTTCATCTTAGGTGTTGCTGTGATTCACAAGCCCTTGTGACCTCAACTCCCACTGCCAGGAGGTGGGGAAGGGAGGGGTGCTGCCTGGAACTCAGAACAGAGGGATCACCAGGACTGGACCCCACTTTCTGGGAGAGTCTGCGGCAGAGCGCGAGCCGCCCTCCTCCGACTTGGCAGAGAAGAGTCCGGAGTGAAGACTGGGGACCCACCTCCTGCACCCCTGAGGGGTTTTGGCCTCTGTCCCGAGCAGTGGGTTCCTGATAGCTTTGTGGCACCTTTGGGCTTTTTGTATGTTTCTACAAGAACAATGTGTGTGTGTGGGGGGGGAGGGGGGTTGTGTATATGTGTGTGTAGAACATGGTGTCCCACTAAGTTGGGGGTAGGTTGTGACAGTCTACTGGATTTCTGTACTACTGATCCTTCCACTACACTAAAAATCAAATCACAGATTTGATTACTTCTGGATTTGTCCTGTGGGCGCTGAGACTACTTCAGCTGCTGTCTGCTGGAGGCCCAGTTGGACAGGGATGTCCAGAAAGGCCTGGCCAGAGAAGCACTGGCCGTGACTACTGGCGGCGAAGAGCTGGGCGCTCTCCAAGCTGCACGGCCTCCTCTGTGTGCCAGACTAGGAACCGCTGGGTTCCCTGGCCCTCAGCCAGCTGCTCTTCCTCGGTCTCTCCTCCAGGAAGCCCCCGAGGACTGCTCAGTCTTCAGACCACTGGTCTCTGATGTCATGAATTCTACGTTTGGGAGATTTTGTGTCTCTTCAGTTGGGAAAACTGGCTCTTCAGAGAAGCCCCGAGTAACACACTAGGAAACAGGTATACATGAAAAACAAAAACAAATAAAGCCAAAGTGGAAAGGCTTCAGTCCTTGCCTGCAATGGTCTTGGAGAGAATCCTACTTTTGGATTTTTCCAGGATATGAAAGTTCCCATTATATTTATTATCCAGGAGTAATTAATCACAACATCTTATTTACCCTCAAAAATGTACTGATTTGGAGGATAAGTAGAAGGTCACCCTACCTCCAAAGCCAAAGATAGGTTTGTCCCTGCATTGGATGGGGTCCTATGTGATTCATATGGACATGGACACCTTCAAAGGAGTGTACCAACTGGGGCTGGTCCTTGGCACTTTGTGATGATGGTCACGTCCTTTTCTCGTGCTCTCCCTCTATTCCAGGGCCTGTACCCTCTCTCTAACTCCTTCTTCTTGCTTCCCCTGTGGGGAAGGAGATGGTGGTAGGCCCTGGATGTGTTCTCTCTCAGGGGTACTTGCATTTTAAGAGAGGAGATAATGACAATTTTGCTAACTCACAGGTAACAATTATTAAAGACAGAACTTCAAGAATCTGGAGGGAGGAGGGTATTTGAAGGTACACAGAATGAATTGCATTAAAGAAAAAAAAAGAACCTTAAATCTGTGCTGTTCCTAAACTAGCACGTTGCTTATGTGGAAATTTCTGGCATAAGGAGTGGAGGTCTTGTGTCTGGAGAACAGTCTTACACCTTGGGAGCTGAGACTTAACCCTCCATGATGTCAAGGTCTGCCTGAAGGAGCCAAGGGGCTTGATGAGCCTGATATTGGACTCTGACACCTGTGGACTCCTTCCAGGCAGATTAGCGCAGGAGACTGGCATTCCCCTCCCCTCACCCTCCGTTAGAGATCCAGGATCTTCCCCAGCCAGTTTGCCACTGTGTGTATTTACAGTATATTTACTGTGCACTGAACACTGAACTCCCTTGAAGATGAAACTTCTCCCATCGAGCAGATGTTATTTCAATGAGACATTTGGAGAGGAACAAGGCGCCCAGAACTTCTAGTAGCCTTGGGAAGAGGCTAAAATATCCAGCTTTGGTGACCGGAAGAAATGTCTCCAAAGGAATCAAGGCCCGCTTTTAACTGGGTGCTCTGCTCTTGTCTAGCACTGGAGATGACTGGTTTCGGGGCTCTGCCTGGCACTGGTTGGAAGCTGATGGAATGAACTTTTTGTTCCAAATGTTCTTCTCCCTTTCTGAGGGAGGTTTGGGACTGTGTGTGTGTGCTGAGGATGAGCGTGAGGTTGGGGTGTGATGTGTGCTGTTCACTCAGCTTCTGATTTCAGATGAAAGATGAGGTCTCCACCCCCTCCGACATGCAGGAGCTGGACTTTCACTCCTGTGTGGGAGGCTGCTGTCTGTGTGTCATCTTCCTAGAAGGGTCCTCCTGCCCCTGAAAACTAGCCAGCCATGTCTTCTGCTTTGGGATTTTAGCTATTGATTCCACCTCACGTCTCCCTTCCAAGGAAGCACTGATTCTACTGGTAGTGTTGCTGAGGCCATGTTCATTTTTACCCTCATGTGTCCTTGCTCATGGGGACTAGAACACTGGTATGTCATCACCAAAAAACCAAACTGCTCTAACTGCCCACAGATGCCATAAAAAACTGGATGTCTCTTTATTACCAGGTACTATTTTCTCTCCACCGTGGACACAGCAGATTTATTTTCAAGTCTATGCTGGCCATGTGGTAGATGAACTCCCACCCCAGCCCCCATTCAGGTGGCCACAACTACCTGTGAATGCAGCTTTGCCAGCAGTGTGTCTGACATCTGATCACAGGTCTCAGTGATGTAATGGAATTGCAGCCCAAGATTAGAAGCACTTAGACGCTACTTGGATACTGATTTAGACTACATAGGAGTAAGGCTCCGAATTCCAAAGTTCTTTCTCATAAGTACCCAGTGGCATCTGTCCATCTAAAAGTTGTGGTATTATGCAAATGAAGTGACCTCATTTTCTGCTATGCAATAAGAATACTTAATTTTATTTCATGACAAACCAGTTGCAACATCCCCTAAGAGGCTCTTTGAACTGTCTTACTTTTGACATCTGTTGTGTAATGTTTATATCTTCCTGAGCCAGATCCTTTCACAGATTACCTTTTTATAAAATCGAAGCTATAGCTTTCAGGCTATAATTTTAATGTAGATATTTTTATAAGATAATTTTTCAGGATATTTGAATTGATTTTTATTGTCCGTGATAATGAGATGTTACGTTCTATACGTCATTCACTCTCAAGCAGAGTCTACGCCTGTAGCTACCTTCCCTTTATGTCTCATGCTCCCAAAACTGGTTTTTCAGTAGCTCCAGAGAGAAAACACAATCACTGGTGTTTCTTGAAACACTGAGGGACTGTGAAGCCGGACTCAGCACTTCCCCGTCTGTGTCTGCGCTTTCGGAGGCTGCTTTCTGCAGCGGCGAGGCGCCCTCCTGGCCGGGCGCTGAGCCTGGCCTGCTGTGGCGTGGAGAAGCCCCAGAGAAGGCTGCCCTCCAGCACCTGCTCCCAGGAGTGTCCTCTGCAGGAGACCATCCTCATTCTCTTCTGTCTCCTCCTTCTTCTGAGGCTTCCAGGAGCTTGAGTCCTGTGCTGCCAGGGGGTGTCCCTTGTGGAAGCCTCTTGCCTGTGGACTTGAAAAGAGGGTCACTCTTGTGATCCCCGTTCAGAATGTGTCAAGCATGAGCTTCATAGATGCTCACACTACACTTAAAAATTACATGTTCTTCTGAGCTGTGCCTACACTCCAGGCTCTCTTTTGTGTATTACCTACCATGAGCTTCATTTTAAAAAACCTTGTTTTTATTATTATTGGGACAGGTGCCATTTGAATTGCCTCCATGCTCCCCATTTGCACCTTGGATCAAGTTGGGCGGTTGGACAAACTCATTCTCCAGCTAGCTGGAGTTTTTAAGTGTTTGCCTGAAGAAGCAAGGAGGTTGGAAGGTATTTTTTAAGTGTTTGCACTATGCAGAGTCCTAAGCCCCTCCCGTTCAGCGGTGCTGTGCACCCGCTGACCAAGCTGGGAACTGGCAGCACTTCCAGCTTGGGAGGGAAGAGGCGTCCTCGGGGCGATGTGCACAGCTGTGCAGCCCTGTGCAGCCTGTCGCGGCTCAGCGACGCGGCATCGGCCATGGCAGGAACGCAGGGGCTGTGGTGTTGGAGAAACAAATTGCTCTCGTGCTATGTTCTTGCCTTTGATTATGAAATTTCAGATTATTTCCTCCCTTTCTCAGTGGCAATAAAGGACCCTTGTTGGATTTGGTTAATTTGTATGTGATGTGTAAAATACTTTCTTTGAAAGAAAACTCAAGGCACTGAATGTGTATGTCTGTGTGGGTGTGCTGTCTGTGTGGTTGCCCATAGGCAGGCCGACTTGACCACTGACACCACGTAACACGTCGCATAGGTAAGGTCCTTGATCTGCTGTTTTCTGCTGGGACATTAGGGACTGTACATCTTATAAAAGGACACTTGTCACATGCTTGATCAGTCACGGTGGTAGCTGAAGAAACAGTTCCTCAAATGTGTTATTTTAATAGGAATCATGTTCTAGTTTCCCATGCTTTGTTACTTTAATTTTAATAAAAGCTGAACTGTGAGAACCTTTCTCGGTATTTGATTTCTGTAGTCCAGCCTCTACACTGTATCTCAGATGTGAAAAGGACAGACTTACTCCTACATGCCTTCAGATTTAAAATTTTTTTTCTCTTTAAGATCTCCTGGATAGGGTCTGGGTTTTTTTGGAATCTGTTCACTGGCCTAAGAATAGTGCCAGACCCCAAAGACCTTCTTTATGAGACCAGCAAGGCCCGTCCCTCCAGTAGGCGTTTGGTGGTGTGAGACGGGTGTGTTGGTCTCAGGCCCTGGGAGGAGGAGACAGATTCCGCTGTAAATAAACATTGATTTTTAAAAGTTTGCTATTATACCTAGTGATTTTATAAGTATTTCTTTATGTCTTATTATTGAATATATAAATATTAGTTATATCTTATTAAATATATACAACCATTAACTATGTTGGTTTATAAGATACCAACATATATGAAGTAATAACAATAGCTAACCTTCATTGAGTACTTATTACGTGCCAGGCGCTTTTCCAAGTGCCTTACTTATTATCAGTGCATTTAGTCCTCATCACAGTCTTCTGAGTTACTATTGTCTTTCTACAGATGAAGACATGAAATGCGGAGAGATTACTCAGCTTGCCTAAGGCAGCAATGGCTGCAAAGGATGGAGCCACTCCAGAGTCTGTGTCCTTAACCCTCTGTCACTCAGCCTTGAGGAGGTGAGGGGGAAGGGCGTGCTGAGAAGCACCAGGGAGAGGAAGGCCCTGAGGGCCCCAGGGAAGTGCGCGCAGGGTTCGGGAAAAACACTGAGGCCCAAGTTTCCAGGCCAGTTGGACCAAAAATGTCCCCATCTTCCATTGCTGGCAAACGTCTGTGTCACTGTGGTGGCAGTAGCGCAGCCACTGTTGTGTGCTTATTGTGTGCCAGACACTCTGCTAAATGCTTTATAACTCAGCCTTTAATCCACAGCCTCTGAGGGAGGTGGCACTGCCCCTCTGGAGGGGGGATGTTTCCCGTGGCTGCCCTGCCTCGCCCCCTTCTGGACTCCTCTCAACCACCTGTGGTGGCCGGGAGTCAGGTCTGGGGAGTAACTGGCCAGCTGAGCTGGGCCTCACCGTGAGGGAGGTGAGCCTTTGATAAAGGAGCTTGGCTCAGCTGCAACTTCTCAAATCTGCCTGCCCAGGGTCCTGGGCTCCCATTCTGATGAACACACTGGACAGTTCTAGTCCCCTTCAGGGTGTCAGGGGCTCTGCCCTATTCCAGGTGACAAAGGGACTGCATAGAGGTCAGGCTCAGCTTTAAGCTGGAGAGACCTTCTGGGCCAGATCCCTCCCACGTTTGGAAAAGTACATTTTGAGCTCCAGGAGTGCATGGCCTGCTTGACTTCCTCTGCACCCTTGGTGCCTAGCACTTGGCCACTTGGGAAATACTTGCAGGAGACGGCAGAAAAGCAGGTGTGGAGGGATCGGGTGCTGATGCCTCCACCTCCTCCACTTCCTCCCTGACCCCGGAGCTGGCCTCCTGCCGTAGCCTCTGGTCCTTCGCCCTGTGCAGTGAATGGAGAGTGGGAGGCCTGGTGCCGCTTGCCCTTTGCATCTGCAGGACACAGGCTTTTCCGGACACTGAGCCATCACAGTCCACAGGTGGCAGGCAGGTAGGAATTTGTGTCCCCCAGGGACTTGAGAGGGCCAGAGAGATGCATCCATGGATCTCAGCGAGGGTCATCAGTGAGCCATGTTGCAGACCCAGATGGAAACTACTAGCTCATTTGACCTACAGTTGGATTGGGAATCAGCCTGAGAAGAGGGCTCAGGCTGCAGTTGTTTGAATGAGCATAGTAGCCGGTATTTATTGCACATCTACTGTGTGCCAGGTCCTGTGCTGAACACTTTGATTCCGGCTGATCCCCACAGTACCGCATTGAGACAGATGATGCCCAGGTCATAGGATCACAGGGTTAACAAACCGGCCCAAGGTCACATGGAGCCTTGAGAAGAGATGCAGAACCGTCCTGCTGTTGAGGCTGTTGGCTGAGTGTCACCCTCCCATCCCAGGGGGCTGAGGTTAGGGGTGCATCCTGGAGTGAGGACCCTGCCTGTATCTGGCCCTCGGGCGAGCAGTGAGGCAGAGCCTGCCCTGGCCCAGCAGTCCGGGCCTGCCCGCCCCCAGAGGGCCCGGCCATGCTCTCAGCTCACCTTCCTCCCCTTGACCCTGTTGGCCAGGAGAAGTTCCCGAGTGAAATCATATTTGGTAGTTTTTCTACCAACTTATTTTTCTACAGTTTACAAATAGGGTCTTTTGACCCTAACTCACTAGTTTACTTTAATATAAGACCTTTTGTTTCTGTCCGTCTCCTGTGATTTTCACTGAGCAGACTGGGTTCCCCACTGGCCACCCTTTTCTGCCCAGGCAGCTTTTGCCATAATGTTCCACGTCAGGGCCCATGGGAAGGGGCACCTTGCTGGGACTATAGACATCATGTAATCTGGCCCCTGTGTTTGCAGATGGGGTACTGGGGGCTGTAGAAAGACAGCTGGCTGTGCTCATGGCGGTGTCTAAGAGGCCTCTTAGTGCCCGCAGAGGCAGGTTCCCCATGGCCCAGTGGAGGCTCTTGGGCCCCTGTCTGCCTGCTGCACCTGAGGGTGCTCTGGGGCCGGGGCAAGGCAGCGCCTGCAGACCTGAGAGCCACACCTCCCGGGGGAGAACAGAGAGGAGGGGTGGTCCTGGCATGGCCGGCCTCGCCTCTCTTAAACTACTGTCCTGTGGTCACTCCGGCTTTGGAGTCTGCTCCAAGCTCCGAATGGCTAGAGGCCCCAGATGTCCAGTCGTCCATCGCCTAGGGCGGAAGGAAGCCTTGCTCTCAGCTGTGTGACCTGTCGGGCTCCACTCTCCTTCTCTGGGACTCATTCCTCATCTATAACCGAGACGCTTGTGTCTCTATGAGCATCTACTCAACTTGCGAGGTCCTATTTTTGCTCCCACTTGGCTGGACAGAAGATGAGGCTCAGAGAAGCCAAGTAACAGTGGGAACTGGGCTCTGAACCCACATCTTCTGTGAAGTAGTTTTTGACAACTATGTCACATGTTTTTAAGCTCTTAGGCCACTGGGCCCTGCCAGTAAATATGCACGATATTGATGACTTGACAAATCCTCTAATTGCATGCTCTGAGAGGACTGGAAAAATTGACTTTAGATCTTTTTCCTTTCCTTTCCATTCTCAGTTCCCAGTGGCCTCTAAGAGAGACGCTGTTGTCTTCCCCAGTGTTGGAGAGCGTTCATTTTCCCTTCACAGTGTGTTCAACAAACAGTTATTCATTCAACAGGAGTACATTCTGCATCTACACTGTACACTGTGCTAGGGACTTGAGATGTCACTGCCAACAAAGCAGATGGTCCCTGTGGACGTGGAGCTTAGAGTTTTGTAAGGGACACAGTTGGTAAACAGCAGGCACAGTACGTGGGGCTGGGGTGGGTGTGGGTGGGGTGAAACACCCACCCAGAGAGAGAGGACAAACTCAGAGACCTGGGGACAAGGATGTGAGCTTCACACTAAGAGAGAAAGAGACCAAGATAAAGAGACTGAGACACAGAGAGAAACAGAGGGAATCAAACATCATGAGAAAGACATACATATACACACATGGCACACATGCACACACACAGCCAGGGAAGAGATCCACTCGTGCAGAAACACAGAGGCAGAGACCAGAGAAAGGCACCAGGGTCATTGCTTGAGGTGGCGGAGAACAGGTCCCTCTGGCGGAGACGAGGACGTGCCTCATGAGTGTGCTTTCTGCTGCAGGCGCAGGGCATCGTCCTGACTTCAGTCCCCTGAGTCCAGGGAGTGTGGGCTTCGGGGGGCACCCGTGTGCCTCTTCCTCAGACGTCTCATTGGATTCCCAAGTACAGCCCAGCGAGGTGGCCAAGGCAGCTGTCGTTCCGTGCGGTGTGCTTCTGCCTGTTAGGTTGGGTGGCCACGTTCCCAGTGCAGTGGATGGCACTCGCAGAGCACTGTGCACGGAGCCTGCACGAGGGGTGACATGGTGGCAGCGAGAATTCCTCACCATCCCTTCACACGGGTGGGAAGCTGAGACAGAAACAGGTCGGGCAGCTCACTCAGATGCCCAGAGTCAGAAGAGCTTGGACTCTGTCTCCCAGGATTGTTTGGCTTCTTTTTTTTTGGTACATGCCCCTAGTGGGAACCAAACCCAGGACTCTCTGGTCCGCAGGCCGATGCTCCAACTGCTGAGCCAAACCGGCCAGGGCATTGTTTGGCTTCTTATGACAGCAAAAAGACAATAGTGGCTTAACCAAAGAGTGGGTTATTTTGCCCGGGTAAGCACAAGTCCAGAGGTAGACATTCCAGGGCTGGCAAAGCATTTCCATGATGTCCTTGGGATCCCAGGTCCTCCTGTGTCTCTGTTCTTGCATCCTTAGCATGTTGCAAGATAGATGCTCCCCAGCTGTTTTCACATCTGCAAAAAGGCATGAAAAAGAAGGGAGAGGAAGGCAGAAGAGGCAGGGCCTGTATCAGGAGAGTAAAACCCTTCCAGAAGTCCTAGTAGAATACCACTTACATATCTCACAGCATCCCAAGCTGCAAGGGAGTTGGGGGAAGTGAATACTTTTTACTGGGTCTGTTGCTGCTCCAGAAGGAGTTTGCCTGGGAGGGAGAAGGGGCAAAGGACTTTGGGTTGGCAGCCAGTGATGCTGGCCGGTCACAGCTATGAGCCACATGATGCCGGGTGCCACATGATTCCTCTATACCAGTCAGCTTGGACTTACCTTCTTGGATCCAAAGTTCACATCCTCTTGGTCTATTGTCCAGCATATGCCCCTGCAGTTATTTTGGCTGGACACTGACTATATGTAGGGCTCCTTGTCCTTGAGGGCTCATGCTGCTCCTTGGCATCTGCCCAAGGGACACAGAGTGGGCTCCCCGGGACAGGGCTGGGCAGGGAAGGCTTCTCAGAGCCTCACTCAACCATCTTTCTTCCTATATTGGCATCAAGGGTGGACGCCGGACGTGCCTCTTGCAGGATAGTGAGATCCTAAGCCATAGAGACCT